CCTCATCTTCGTGTAGTTTAATCCTAAACTAAAAATATTTTCGGAATTCTTCTGTTTATATTTCCCTTCATCGGAACTTCTGAATAATTTCTAATTAGTTTAAACTAATTTCAAGGTTCAAAGGAATTTGAACGAATTTAAATCCAAAATCATTCTAATTCATTATATCGGTGAAAACTAATTTTTAATTCAAAATTTGCTTAAATTAGTTTGTCAAGTTCAAACTAATTTGAATTAACGTTTTCTTAAATTAATTTTGAAGCAATTCACTCACAAATCCATCTGAACTAATATGAAAAAACAAATTAGTTTAAAGCAATTTCGAAGATTTTTTGAGAGGGAGGGGCGCCTTAACATTTGGAGAAACATTATATTTCTTTAAGAAGCACCTTGTTTTGTACCTGTTGTTTATTTAAGGCAGTCCGGTGAAAGAACAAAGGCATAAGTTTAATATACAAGAAATTACACTTGTCTGCAATTTTTCCTAACTCGTACTTTTTTACTTTTTTTCACCTAATTATAAAGTGATTTTTTACTTCATCAAAGTTATGATCAAATGGAAGTCAACCTACATTGTACGAAATTCAACGCATTAAGATCTTTCATTAGATAAATATCTCTTGTATCTAACGCTTCATAATAACGCTGTAAAACTTTGTTTTCGTTTCGTTACGCTATTAGATCAACTTGTTTTGATTTTTTGTTTTATTTTTGCCTTATTATGTGTTGTTGTTGTTGTTATTAACAATCTATTCGATGCTACATGACCGAAACTGTTGAACTCATTATTGAGCTAGTAATCAAAACTTTAGTTCTCGCGAACAGAACAATTCTATACATATCCAGTTACAGAATGATATAGCCACATAACCTTTCAGAAAGATTTGCGGCCGCGCGCCTAGAGGTACTATTAACCATTCGGTGCCGGGCGTGGTATATTAGCCATTTTGACTATTTCTTAAAATCCGGCGTGGTATATATACCAAATCAATCAAAAGTGAGTGGAAATGGCCTACACAAAACAGGAAGATAGATTATGAGACCTGCCTGTGTTCAGAGTTATAGTGAAAATTAGGGTGCAGCTGATTTAACGCTTTACACTCGAAGACACTTTTATTATAGCTGCCGATGAAATAACTACTGCATTGAAGCTTACAGTTCTTCGGTACATCCTTGTTATATCGAGACTTAAGTGGTGTTACTTTGCCGCGTGGATGCATGATGTCCTTGGAAGGGACATTCGGGTGTAACGGCATGGATTTTGTATTTTCTTCATTGTTATTCCGAACTTCCTTTTTTACTCTCGTATATTACTATGAGTTTCTTTTCAATTCTTTACTCACTGAAAAATATTTCCATAGAAACAAACTTTCAGACGCATTTTTCTTTAATTTTTCCAAAAAGGTCATGCCCGAACGCGTTTTTCGGATCAAAATGGCCCTGAGGGCGCTTATAAACGAGCTTTTTTTTTTATCTCAATGGAAGAAAAGTATGTTCGGACGCATCTTATTTTTAAAAAAACCGAAGGTAGTTCAGACGCGCCTCAATTTTATTCAATATTTTAAATGCACTTAGATGGAATTTTTATATCGATCAGAGAAAAGCACATTCACATTTGTCGGCGACGACACTATACTGCTGGTTACGTCTTTTTTTCTTCATTCGCGGTGTGGATCAGGTGTGTAGCGAGTGATCACAGAATGACTCACGCTAACAAGATATCGAGATAAAAAAATTCACTTTTCATAGCGTTACACCTGAATGTCCCTTCTAAGGGACAGTGAATTCACAGCACCTTTACGCAAAGAAGAATGCTACAAAAATTTCTGCTTTTATAAAGTACACTTATACAACCCAAACTATCAACTACAAAATTAGAAAATGGTTTAGTGGTTACAAGTATAGAAAATATTTAAAAACAAAAACTTTTTTTGAACTTCATTCAATTTTAGAATTCAAAAATATTGGATTAAGATGGAAATTTTTTTTTCTTATTTCAATCAAACGTTAGGCTACTCTATTGTCCTACATTAGTAATAATCTAGCTTATGGCCTAATGATCCGTTTTTTTTTATAAATCTATTATATCAATGTCCCTTGGAAGGGTCCGCCGGTTGTAAAGGGTTAATTGATATGCAGTCAAGTTTCACTGAATGCGTTAGAAAAACAATCAAATGGTACAAGAAGCTCTTTTTCCATATTTTTGATATGGCTTCAATCAATGTTTTTTATTTATATAAAACGCAAAACTCAAAGAATATACGGTTGAAAGAGTTTCGTCTTCAACTGATAAAAAATATTATATCAAAGTATAGCAATCAAAAACGAATTTCTGTTGGGAGACCATCGACTGATTCTCCAATACGTTTATCTGTTAGACATTTTCCATCACTTGTACCCTCAACTGCTTCAAAAAAAGCTGCCCAAAAGAAATATCATGTATGCTCTCATACAACAAGACGTGAAAAATTAGCCAAATATACAAGATGAGGAATGCGCTGTTGGGTTATGCATAACTAATTGTTTCAAAGCTTATCATATCCTAAAATACTTTTGATAGTGATTTTTGATTCAATAAACATCTATTTTACTTACACAAAAACCTCTATTTTTTCAAAAACAATCCAGACACCAAACGGTTCAGCATCTCTTTGCTGACTTCTCAATGGGCACTTCTTTAGTGTGATTAAAATTGTATTTCAGAAAAACGTGTTGTAAACAAGTACACGAGAGAAGTTGTTTTGTTTATATCATTTCACGAAACCGTAAGAGAATCCCAATCAGGCATCCCCTAACGTTATTCATCTATTACATCGGCAAATTACTTATACCTTCCATTACAGTAAGGTATCACAGATTTAACTTGCCACGCAGGAATCTCGTCTTATTTTATCTTGAATTTGTTGTGTACGAAATGTGAAGGCGATGAAAAACAGAGATAATTTTTCTTTCTGCTTTTAAGAAGACAGGACGTCAGGCTTGTCCTAAATGGGCTTGAGGATAGACCATAGATATAACCGATCCACATTTTCTCGATCGGGCCGTTAACCGATCGAAAAATTTCTGACCGGGCCGGTTGACCGGTCATATATTTTTGTCTGGACGGTCAAAATATTTTTTAACACCACCCCGAAGTCCGTATCATTAGAATTGCAGAAGAAATCTGGGACGCGCGGACACCTACTTTTTGACCCTTAATATTAGGATAACTCTTGAAAATATTTCGAACTCAAATTTTTACTGTGAACTGTCCAAGGTCAGATACACATGCAGTGTTAATTAATTACTGTGCTCTCTCTCCAACCAGTATTACCACCACTACTATATTATTGTCTTGAAAAATAGAAAACATAAAAATAAATTCTTCGATCTCTTCATCATCATCATCGGGATTCATCCGTTATAGTTAAATAAAAGTAAAGACGAAGAAGAGCAAAAGAAAAGGGAAAAAATAAAAGAACAGAAAATGGCAGCAGCAGGAGAACATTATAATCATTACGCACCGTCGAAACGGTTGGCTTTTGTAAGAACGACGCCGTTTCGACGTCGTGTATTGATTCATTTCAGTTTGTGCACTATTATGGTTTTACAACATTTTTCCTTTTGTTTATTCTGTGTTGCTTTGAATTTTTTCCTGTCTTTGTCTGCGTTTGAGAGAGTGAATTGATACTAGTGTGTTAGTGTGAAAGCCTAACGACAGAGGACTGCTAAGGCTTTAGGATAAACATCCATAGCTCCCGAACCATGGATTTCCAAGATGTCCCTTACATCCAGTTATGTAGAGGACACTTCGGACTATATATGTATGAAAATAAATCCAGAGATTTCTATGTTAGCTTTCAGAGAACCGAACTGATTTTCCACAGATTTGGTGGAAAACCAATCTTTGAAATTTTCTCAAACTCATTTTTGCTTATGAAAACATAGCTTCAGATTTTAGCTAACGAATGATGAAAGCCAGAAGTCTCTATCTTTTATTCTTCTTGAATTATTCAAAAAATAACCACCCGCTTCGTATTTCAGCTCGATAATAGTGCAACAATCATTAAAAAAGACAGAAAAACGAACGGAACATTCACATAGTAGAGATTACCAGTCCTGCTCTCGAATACTGTGAATAAAAAAGAGAAACCGAAACTGACTTTCTTAATCTGAAATATGAAAAGCTTGTTTGACTTAGCTCATCAAATTCGTTTTCGACAAAGTACTGATTTTTTCTCGACCAGTCGGTCACATTAATTTTTTTTCTGCTGGCCGGCCGATCGACCGGTCAAAAATTTCTGACCGGGCCGGGCCAGTTGCCGGTACCGGCTACATCTCTGGGATGGACATCATGAGGTGAAAGTCTGGTCTTCGTTGCTCGTCCTCTTTCAGAAATATTAAATTCTGTAAGATTATCTCAAAAAATTGGGGCTTCGCGTGAAGAACTGCACCAGAATAAAAGCTCAGATTGAGCTCAGATTGATTTATATATCTAGACCGTGAAGAGATATGTATACAATAAAAATGGCAGCCCAACTTAAGCTTTCATTGCCCGCATTATTCTCTTTGGATCAATCAGCTCGACACGATCAAAGTACCATTTTAACGGCCTGTTAAGCCTTCCTTAAAGATCTTTAAACAGCCCGTTTTTGTAATGTCAACGGTTCGTTAATGTTCACCATAAACGAGCCGAGCCGTTTTTAAAAGGTCATTTTTGAAGAAAAAACGAGCTTATTCGGTTTTACAGTGTTGACAAAAAGTTTTTGATATTTAGGATCGTGGCTCTATTGGGGGTAAGTCTAACATTCTCTTCTTTCTTAAAAAGGGAAGAAAAATTATATGTCTTTTTCATCGACTTCACTGTTTCTTATGTAACAAATTCGAATCAAAGTAAGACAGTGATTCCAGCGCTGCAATTTAACAGGCCCTTCTGATTGACCTGGGACATTTTCACTGTCTTCTTCTTCGAATGTCTAGAGAGAGAAAATTCTATTTACAGAAAGAACAAACGATAGTGACTACATAAAATCGAAACATTCCCTCAACATGTCCATTCCAAATTCTTTGGCGATTTCGTCAGATCTTTTATGATCAATTGGTTCAACCATATACACTTTACTTACTTTAGCAAAGTAATCTTCAATTCCAGATGGTGTAAATATTATTTGTAAACGAGCATTTGTTGAGTTATAATTTCGAAATGACATTTTTGTTTCTTTGGGAGCATGTATTACTTCACCCGCTCGAGCAAAAAATGTTCGATTATCAATTATAAATTGTAATTCGCCGTCAAGAACCCGGAATGTTTCATCTTAATGAGCATTCATGTAGGAAATCAAAAAGCACTGCCTATGTCTATGACCACAGCTTCGTTTACATTCACACTACTGTCCCACACCTTTACTTGGACGTGTTTGATACATAAACCAATCCCAATGGTGAATATGCAGTTGTGGGCCTTCACCGATCAATATATTTCCTTCCATCATTGTGAATAAACCATTTGTATCCTTTCCTCGTAGTTTATAAATTCTCGTAGAATTTGGAAATGGTAGAGCACGAACCGATTCCCCCTCACCTGGTAAAAGGATTACTGATGGCCGTTTTGTTTGTCTGACAAACTGATCTACCTGATTACCAATACTTTGAATTAAATTCAATATATTCTGACTGCTGTAGTTTTGGACAGTGTTTTGTAAATTATCAACTAAAGTAACAATATAACTATTTGAAGTGCTGAGATATAGACATAAGTATAGATAAAACGTACTGTTCAGTGCATTCAGGAAAGAAATACTACTACACAGAATTGTCAATATCACACATATATTGGACTTCATTATTACTTCCAAAACAGATAACCGTAGTTTTGTTTTCAAACCTTTTCTCCTTAATATAACTTTCTGAAAGATATCTAAATTGATACGATCGATAGAAACAAGCAAGTATTGTAAACTATAAAAAAAGATACGTACGATCACAGTTAAATTGCAAAATAAACGAAGAAACTATATATATATTAATTATTTTAACTTGATTTTTATCCGCGAAAATTTTGAAGCGCATTCGATGTCATGGTTCAGTTCCGAAACCAAAATAAAGTATGACAAAAAATGTCACCTGATTTGAAACATACTTAGAAAACAATTCACCAGGTGAACTCTCAGGCTATAACATAAGAAATAACTATTGCAATTATCAAGAAATAAAGCGTAGTAACTTTAACTACATGATACTTCCTAATAGACATGTACGTTATTATTTTACGTCGTCAATAAACAGCAAAAGAAAAAAAGTAATATCACTTAAAAGTCGACGAAGTAGAAAACATTGCGAACAGTCTATGTGAAGTTGAAAACACTGATTAAATTGATATTAGATAAGAATTGCTTTAATTGCATTTTTTCCAAGAAAACGAATAGACCCGAGTCTCGGAAATATTAATTAGGACAAAAATTTTCAACTAGTGCTGCTGTATCTAAATTATAAAAGAGAAATGAAAGAGCCTGAGTTGTGGCGCAGATCTGTCGATAAAACTAGACCTTTGTCTAACCAGCTAAGTAAATTTTGTTAAACTATGTTTTTTCTGTTTTAGTTTTGAAGAATGAAATATTTCATTTCGCTTTTTGCACCAATTTTACTGTTGTTGTTGTGCTCCTCTGTTCAATTACAAACTGAACCATGGTCACAGCCAATTTATAATTTTACGTTAGAAAATGTCTGGTTCACGATGAAAGATGGTGTACGACTGGCAGCAACGTCAGTATAGTTTGCGATGAAATTGAAATATCTTCGCGACTGTTTTACAAAACTAAGTCTTCTTGTTTTTAAGACTCGGTATGCCAATACCGTTGAATGAAAATGAAATATTTCCGGTAACATTAGAATATTTACCATATCGGAAAGATGATAGTTTCTATGCTGCTAATTTTATTGACATATGGTATTTTTCTCGACGAGGCTATATCGTAAGCATTGTGAACGGAATCGTGTTCTATTTGTTACTAAGAACTTGTGTTTTAGTCTGCAAAAGTTGATATACGTGGCACTGGCGGATCGGAAGGTGAGCTTTAGAAAGCACTTGCGTTTCGACGGTTTTGTTCGGATTACTTGTTAATTTTAGGTATAAGAGTTCCGAAAGAATATAGTGACATTGAGCTGGATGATGGTGAAGAAATCATACGCCAATTGGCTATTTACCCCCGAAGCAACGGAGCTGTTGGCATGTTAGGCTTAGGATGGTCGGGCTTTAATTCATTGATGATGGCTACAATGCGTAAACCGCCGGCACTCAAAGCAATCTATGCAGCACATGCTAGCGAAGACCTGTACTACAATGATGTACATTATATTGATGGTAAAGTAGAAAAGGACTTATATTGTATGCTGGCCTTATTAGTTCCGACTCAGTCATGTGCCAAACGCAGATTCTAACTACCACACGTTTGGTTTTTAGGTGTGCTTCATGAAGATGAATATATCTTATCTATTGACCATGAAAATGCATTGCCTAGTTCGCCGTTGTATTCAGTTGACAATGACTATATCAGTAATCGTTTTTTACAATACCCATGGATGGATTTATACCTTCAATATCAAAATGATAATGTTGAATTTTGGCATGAACATTCTATTATGTATCATTATGAAAATTTAACAATACCTTGTTACTTAGTTAGCGGACTATATGATAGTTATCGTGATGCTGCATTTAATATTTATACAAATGTCAAAGCACACAATCAAAAAGTGAAACTAGTAGCAGCACCTGTAACACATACTATGCCAGAAGATCAGACTCCAGGACCCGGATATGATAGTAACAGTGACATCGTTAGCTGGTTCGATTATTGGTTAAAAGAAAAGAATACAGGTGTGATGGAACAGCCAGATTTAACAATTTATGTGCGAAATACAACACTGTCACCAACAGAATCAATGAACAAACCGATCCCCGGTGAATATCGCTACGAAACGACATGGCCAATTGAAAGAATACAATTAAAAAAAATGTACTTAATTATGGGAAAGATGTTGTCAAGCCAACAACCAGCATCTAATTCAAGCATGCCAGACGAACTAGAATATATGCCATGGATCGGTGTGCAATCAAGAACTGGAGTAACTTGTCGATAAAGCAAATGAGTGCGCTTTGTATGTGTATCTGTATGTATGTTTTAGTGGGGTGGCTTGACTGGTGATCAAAGTGAGTTAGATAAGTATGCACTTGTCTATGACAGTGAAATATTGAATAAAACAATTGAAATCGTTGGATTTGTTAACGTGACATTAGAAGTGAGCACGAATGTAACACAAACTAACTGGATTGTACGTCTTGAAGATGTACATCCAAATGGTGAAGTGACACTTGTTACCGGTTCATTGAGAAATGGAGCTCAAATCAACGGACGCCTTCTACCTCGATATTTAACACCAAATCAAATGTATACAATAACACTGTCACTACACTTCACCACCTGGACTTTTCAATTGAAACATCGACTTCGAGTATCCATTTTGAATTCCTATTTTCCAGCTCTATGGCCATCACCATTTCCAATGAAAACAAAATTATATTTTGGTACAATTGATCTTCCTGTTATCCCGTCCAATAATATGGATTTTTATGTAACACCTGATTTCACACAACGGCAACGTGTTCCATCTGATCTTCCAATTATATCTGATCGAACTCTTTTGCTAGAAGGGAACAAAACTTATATGACAATAGAAAACACTGAAGAAATGACGACAACTGTCAGTTATACCTCTTATGTATATCAATCAATAAAAGATTTTTATGTAGCTAGTCAACTTAGATGGAATTTAACAGTGCACCACTACGATGCATCCAATGTAACATGGACAGCAATGGCTAAACAAATCTACGTGTGGAATATCTATCCCAACATTACAATGTGCTCTTCAACAGAAAGCGGTTTATCATCATCATGTTTGCAAATCAATGTGTTATCTGGTTATCCAACACTTGATTTAACAACTCGTCGTTCTTTAGAATTACAAACATCACTGTCAATTAATTCTGATCAAAATAATTTTTATACAAATACAAAACGCACATTAATGCAAAATGGTACACAAACATTAGTTAATCAATTCAAACAAACACATCCAAGACAGTTTCAATAACAATTTTCTTTTTACAGAAATAATTATTTTTTCAAGCATTTGTGCATAATACATCTATTAAATATTCGTGATTATTTACTGCAACTAACATTTTTTATATCAGTGGCCTGTGGTGTCTGATAAGTTCGTGGATGAAGTCTCATTCTAGCTTTTCGTAGTAGAGTTTGTATATTTAACGTCTATTCATTCTTCAGTCGTGCAAGAGGAAGAAAGTACACTATAGAAGAAATTAGGAAAAAAGAATCTAAGGAAGGTGCTGGCAGGTAAACGAAGACTGATTTTCCGATTAAATACACACAAAATTTTTTAGAGGAGCACTCAGGACTAACACTACTTCTTGACCGATAAGAAACTTTCTGCAAGCAAAGAAGCAGAATGTTTTAGTAAAGAATTTGTGAGCATTATTATATAAGCATAATTAATCTAGTAAAGCAAAAGTTGTGAGCATAACTGATTTTCGAACAGAGAGAAAAGCTTTTAACACTAAACGTGAAACAGTTCGAAACATATTAGGATATACGGACATTTTGTCTGGATGCTAGCCTGCACAGATTTTATTCGAAAGAATAAAATCACACAAAACGTTAAATACAAAAATTTACATACATCTAATTTCTGATTAATTTTTAACAGTCAATCATTGACATGTTGCTGCTTACTGTCACTAAGTTTTGTTAAATCTTTCAATATTGTTTGCAGTAAGATGGCATCAATGTGCTCCATTTTTAATGCCACAATGAGATGAATGCACGCCTGCAGGCGCACCAATATACTAGTCTGCACAGATTTTATTCGAAAGAATAAAATCACATACAGAAAACGTTAAAAACAAAAAACTGCCTCGTTGTGTACAAACAGACATTCAGGTGAAGAAAGAATGTTGACTCAAGAAAAAGAAACTAACGATATCAAAATAAATCTTCACTTGGCTCATACGTGTAGAGCTCGAAGAATCACTTCGACTTTTTAGAAGTTGAAAAACATCTTCAACTTTTGAAACTGCATAATCTATATTTTCAACTTTCGATCTATTATTTCAACTTTTCAACTTTTGACTATATATCTCATTTTCAAGGTTGAAAAGTTGAAAAGTTGAAAAGCATATATAAAGTCAAAAGTTGAAAAGTTGAAAAGTTGAAAAGTCGAAAAGTTGAAAAGCATAT